TTTGTGTTTATAATTTGCATAATTTATAATGAGGTTAAACAACTCAACTAAATTGTAGAGAAGAGTAAAATATATAGGGAACAATTCAAGTTCTAAAAGTAGAGTTGTTGACGAAATAGAATACCCAAAAGTTTCCTTATACAACACAAATTTCAACTCCTAATAGGCTTTTAAATAGAACTTCAACTAGAATTTGTCCAATAGACTTCGAATAGGACTTCAAGAGCATTCCAAATAGAATTCCTCTTAATATGCGCTTTAATTAGAACTTTCAATTATTTTCAACAAAGAATTAAAGTCACACCCAAATTCTAACAATCTCTATCTTGACATGAATTTCACAGCAATGAGCAAAACAAAGAAAATGGAAAAAAAATTCTCCACTTAGAGACAAATTCCACTGCAATGAATAAACTTGGAATCTTCAATGAAAAAACACTAACGAACTTTTTCATCAACAATTCCAACTGAATATTCTCCATCTTTGCTACCCCAACTAGGGGCAAAATGATCTAATGACCACCAAACATGGCTGACACAAGACTTATAACAGAATCACAACTGAATGCATCAAAAGAAGAATCTTGGCTAGAATTAACACCCTTAACCACATTCAAAACATCAACAAAATCAGCATAATTGTACCTATATGGAATCTTATGGTAAAAAAAAGGGTCTATTTCTAGCAAGTGAATACGATGACACTATCGATAATGATAGCAAGACGAATATACCCATATCTTCAAAATTCAACTGAGATGTAATCTTAAACGAAGACCCCAAATTAGACTCCAATGGTATAGAAGCCAACTTTAAATCCATGAATTGTTAAAATATGCTGATTATTCTAAAATTCTGTATAATATTGCAAGACATAAACAAAACATGGACTCTTTTACCAACCTTCAGGACTCCACCTTCAACAGTGTACCTGTACCATTTTGAATCAAGAGTACTTAAGGAGATAAGATTTCTCTTCAGATCTAGAATGTGTCTCACTGCATCAAATGCTCTAACTGTCCCATCAAACATCTTTATTCTGACCCGACCAATACCAACTAATCGACAAGTTGTATAATTGCCGATCATCATAACACCTTTTGCATCCAAAATCCAAGCCTCGTCAGGATTGGAGTTGTAGTCAGACACAAGAAAAAGCTCTCCATCACTATGAAAAGTTTCAACAATAACTTTACCTGAAGTATATAATTGTTTTTTCTTCAGAAAAGCTGCAGCTAAAGTTTCTATATTACGCAACTTATTGCAATTCTTAAAAAAGTGCGTCGAATTCTTGCAATAAATTTTAGAGTTAGACCTTAATTTGCCCTTTGGACAACCTGTAAGTGTTATGCCCTAGATCCAATCGATTTAGGTTGTAAACGCTTTTAGCTGATCTCACGAGCTAAAGTGACACTTAAATGAACACGTGAATGTTTTGTTATAAAATAAAACATTGAAGATCCGCTAAGAGATTCCACATGGATAACTATCTGAGTGTCAGTGGTTAATCTCTAACGTTCGGTAATGAAATTGGTCCTACAACTTGAGGTCATCATAGTACCTTATATGAGGACAGTCATTTTTTGACGGTGTTGGATGTTGCTCTGTCAAGGGCCGCTAATACGACATCATTCGGGTATGTCAAGAACCATATGAAGGTTGTGAATGATCAATAGAGGATTCGTCACTCTTAGATGGTAAGATATTGTGATCTGCATTTCGTTCAATTAAGTCAATAACGAAATCCTTGGCCAAGGTGTACATATAAGTCGAAAAGGAGTTTTCGACTCATATTGATTTAATAGAAGAATGAAAGATATGATTGATAATCGAGATTGACACACTTCCATATCTCGTAGTTGATCGGATCATATTGACGAAGGATTATAATTTCATGGTAAACGAACAGTTTTGGTTATTTCATACCACGTGACATTTCCCGTCACATGTGTTGCCCTGATACATTGCTAGATGTCAATCTAGGACGACGAGTGTGAATCTGTGATAAATTAAAAGAGTGTTTAATTTATCAATTTTGATTAGATCAAAATAATATTTCACGTCGTTAGGCATCGTGGTCGGGAACCTAATGGGTCGCACATAAAAGAGAATTGATAGGTTGCAAATTTTCAATTGATTAATTTAACAATCGTTGGATAAATTAATTAATTGGATTTATTATTTATATTCCCAAATTAATTAATTGGATTGATTAATTCACGGATCGAGTTTAATTAAATGGATTAATTAAACAATGGACCGGATCGGGCCGAGCCCGTTTGGGTTTATATAAATACATGATTAGGGTTTGAGGTCCATAAGGTTTTCATTATTCTTGCTGGCACAAGAGAGAAAATTCTAGCAGTTGCAGTCTATTCTTTGTGTGGATTTCATTGGAGGCTGGACAATTGGACAACTGTAGGAGGCAGATTCAAATTGCTGGAAAGGAATAACGCGAAGAAGTTTGCAAATTAAAGAAAATGTATATTTCTTATCATAGTTTTTATCTAAATACAAAGCTGAATCCAAAATGGGAATTGAAATTTGTTAAATTTCGCTGTGCATGTTTAAGTAAATTCTCAACACAACCACCATCAAGAACAAGACCATCTCCATGAACCTCAACAATATGCTTTATCTTCTTCTTTGAAAATAGAGCATCATAGACTTCTTCAATGGTGAGATCACGACTATATAAGATCGTATCTTTAAACAATATAAGAAATGGACAAAACAACAACAAAATCAATTCCATATAAGTGAGCACTGCTCGTCTCCTAGTCCACCATAAAGAAAATCTTATATTGTGATCCAATAGCAGAACATCAAACTTCATAGTTGTCATTACAAAAAATCAAGTTAAGCTATTAACTTGATCAAAATCTCAATCTTCCGAAGAATTACAAAATCAAAAGCTCTGATACCACTTATTATGAATCGAACCAGATTTAAAACTACTTTATTGAAAGCTAAATAGTTCCAATAACAATTTATTATGAAAAGATAAGAGATTAAGCAATACATGAAGTAATTGATCTCGAATAGGATTTCAAAAGCTTTCCTAATAGAATTTCTCTTAATACACTTTAATTAAAACTCTCAATTATCTTTAAAAAAAATTTCGGATCACACCCAAATTCAATTTCTCTTAATACACTTTAATTAAAACTCTCAATTATCTTTAAAAAAAATTTCGGATCACACCCAAATTCTAATAATAATAATAATTTAGGACTGGAGTTGAGTGGTATGGAGCAGATTGAAAAGAATTAAGTCAAATTGTTAGAAAATTTTTAATATCTTGGACGATATATTCTCACATATACGTGGGACCCGTATGAATAAAAAATGCAAAAAAAAAGCTCCCACCCACATATATGTCAACTAGAGTGTCATAATATTTTTGGCACCGTAGCTTGATTGGATTGAAAATAATACCAATGCTCCAACGCCGAGAACGATAGAGAGGGTTGGATTCTTCTGCTGAGACAAGCAGCAGTGGAGGAGCTGGGGGGTAATGATGGAGGGAACAACAGCAACAATAACAGTGACGGAGAGAACAACTTCAACCATAACAGTGGAGGAACAAATTGTGGTTTCTGGAGGAGGAGGGCAAGCGAGAGACCACCTCAGCTAAAGTAAGTTGGTTCTGCGACTTTTTGAAGATTCGCATGGATTCGAGGAAAGATTTAAGCATCTAACTGGTTAAAATAATAATTTTTCAGAAGTTGTCATGCATACTCTAAATAGTACCCAAGAACAGGTAGGCTGTTTACCTATTTTGAGTGTTCAGAAATTCTGGGTCTGAGGGAAAATTAATTAGGCTTGATGAAAATTTGGGATGGTGAGAGTGAATGTCAGTTCAGTTCCTATAAGTTTCAACTCGGAACGCAAGTGCTACTGTAGAAACATACAGATAATTGCCAAAAGGTCCAAAACTAACTCGTAAATTTTAATTTGATTTTCTTTTTGTTACTTGATCTCAATGTTTGATATCAAAGGCTGATGTGAGAGCATAACTCAAATTATATGTATACTCAAGACAGTTATTGTGTGGCCAATGATAAGACAATGAGTGCACGCCTCACAAAACTCTGGCTCATGCCTTGAGTAGTACGCCTCGGTAAATCGAACCTTGATACAGCTCTGAAGTGCTTAGTAAAAGCCTTACATGAAGAGTGCCTTGTATGAGCTTTGAATGCGTTTTATAATCATGTTTCTATCTAACGTTGGTTCACTGGGAGGCAAAATAGTTTAATGGCTCAAGGAAATGTGTAAAATGAGGGAAGAGCAGTGTTCTTGTTCTATAGAATTTCATAAGACTGCTTAGTTTCTGTTTCTGTCATGCCGTTTTCTGGCCATGTGATGTCACTTTAAGTTACTAGTTTGCAGATTAATGGTGACAGGGTGCAGAATAAGAGTAAATGAGCACATTTCATCCGTGCTACGTATCATCAAACACTCTTGTTCTTTTTCTGGCCATCTCATAGACCGGAATGATGTGCTCAGAGAGAACTCAGTGAACTCGTTTCAATTAACTGATTAATGTGACTATTTAGTGTGATAATCTCGGGAGTCGATTGTTGTTACTCTCATGCTTTCATTGGTTGCAGTGATTACTGTTTCCAAATAGATTTTATAGAACCCTTCTTCGTAGCTAGAATCTGGATCATGATGGGATTGTTTAGCCATCCGAGTTTTAATATCCTCTTGTTGTGAAAGGGGTAGCAGAGAATTGTGCAAATTCAACACAAGGGATGTGAGAGAACTTCAATTCAGATTTATCAATTTTGAACGTTATGGTCACATCAGACTTCTTTCTTGAAATGTCGATCCTTTGTACAAGTGAATGGGAATATTTTTGCTTACAATTTAAGTACTAGCTGGGGTAATCTGGGAGTAAGAATTTAAGTTAGCTGCTTCACACGACATAGAACAGCAAAAGAAGATGGCAAACATGAAATCTCAAAACATTTCAAATTCTTCAACAAAAATTGGCAGCCCAACAATTTGTATGACTCAATGCTATTAATTTAGCAAACAAGAATCCGCACAACACTTCAAACAGAAATTTAGTAATTTTGATTATATTAGTCAGTGACACAATAAGATCTGCAAAAAGGATGATTATGGAAAATTGAAGGCCTAAATGTTACCCCCAAAAAAAAAAAAAAAGAGAGAGAAAGAGAGAGAGCGAGAGATAGGAGAGAGAGAGGAAAAAATCAAGAAAAATAAGTAGTCTTCTAAGTAATTTATCCAAGATCGGCACTTCTCACGTCCGGTGTCCTGGCAGGGTAAGAGATTGGAAGAAAGGTGTCAAATCACCACCTATTCTTGGGTGGTTTGACTTTGTAAATTCTGACTATCCAGTTAGACGTGGTAAATGCCTCTTCCAAGTATTCAAGCTTTATATCTTTATTTCCTATTTCGACCCCCCTTGCTCTATCATATCTGCCATAACGAAACAGAATTGCATTAGCAGTTTATTTTGGAAAAGTACAGATATAACAATAGAGAACCAAACAACCAACTGTAAACTAATGGAGAAATGGATAGCTATCACATCTTCCCCAACTTCTACTAATAGGATTATAAATTATTATGCAGCAAATTTGATATATGTCAATAAAAGAGCACAGATACATTCAAACAGGATAAATATATATGTACAAACAAATGTGTACAACATGGGTTACTTACTCTCACAAACAAGCAGCCCCCACGTGAATTTAAAAAATGTCGGCTCATGGTCCCCACCTCCCACTGTGAGTAGTGAGTAAAGGATTATGTAAAAAAAAGTTTGTAACTGTAGCATGGTCCAACAAATATTAGGTTGAAATGTTCA